AAACGCAAGACAGGAATAAACTCAAAACCAACTCGGAGTAAAACATAATATAGAGTGGTACTCTTAAGTTTGCGATAGAAAATAGACACCAGACAGGAAATATTCTGCTTGCGTATCTTAATTTTTCAATCTGCTAAATCTATTGTAGGAGATCTATAAATAGATACGATATCGTAAAGACTACAAATTCATCAAAGGATCAACAGAAAAAGAAGAGCTTAGTGTGTCATCCATATGTATACAGTCTTTGACACATAAAGAAATCAAACAGCCACGTGACCATTTCAGAATTATTATAAATTTCTAAAGTACAATGAGGAGTGTATCACTCTTCCGAAAAGGCCAATGAGATTTTTCAAAACAATGCGATATCAGTCGAGTGCAGTCGTTCAATTTTCAACTTCTAAAGTACAGAGAAGGTTCTTTTGATTTTTTTTTTATTTAAAATAACGGTTTCAGAAGTTGCAAAAAATTTGGAAAACAATCTTTTCAGGGTAACATGACACCTTTTAAGGAATTTTGAGAATCAAACTTCAGGTCTTTTCTTAGCATTTCTTGTTGCTTATATGTTTGAATATGAATAATGTAATTAATTGTCCTTACGCAGAAGTCCATTTCTCTCTTAATCTTCCTCGTCTGTTACGATTATTTCGGCGTTTGGTGGTTGATACAAAATCATGTTAGTTTCACAAATGATAAAGAATTCTATAAAAACTCTTAAACCTGCTCAGAATTTCTCACCATAAATCCGCAGAATTTCGGGAATTTACCCTCGCTTATTGGGTTTGTACAAGATTGAGTGGAAATTCTCAAACGGATACTCATCAAATGCATTCAGGTGCTGCATGAGGGTATCAAAAAGAGAGTTAGTCTAGAAAAATTGACGAAAACGACTCTCGAAATTTTTCCGCCGTTTTCAAATTTTATTAGATCCCAGTCTTACCGCGTGAGTGTATTCGCCATTTTCATCACATAAAATTAGTAATAATGGTCAATTGTCTTTGAACAATCATGATTGAATTTACTTTGGGCTGTTGCTGGAAATTTATCACTTTTATAAAAAAAATTTGATTCCAGAGGACAAAGATACATTTATTGAGTTCGGGGGTTAATATGAAAGCCTTCGTGCCGTTGTGATAATTACATTGGCGATCACCGCCGAATCTAAGGCTGAACAGTGAGTGCATCTTTGACGGGATTATGAACCATTCCTAGATTTAAGGTAAGTATATAATTGATTGTGTCAAAATGTGAAATGTCTAAAGCGCTTTGGGTGGGGAGAGGTAAAAACGTAATTTACCTGAATCTCGACACGAAATTTAGCGATCATTTGCGAGGTGTTTTTTTATATTAATCTTTGCGATCGAACAGTGGCGCCAATATAGGTTAAATAGCAACGCATGGTGATGAACTGGACAAAAAATAAAGAGGAAATTCGCTGTGTAGAGGCATGCAATGCTTTTTGTAGACAATGTGGTAAAAACATTATGAAATGGCGAAAATGGGCCTAATTCTAGCTGCAAAGCGATTTTGTTGTGAGAATCATGTGTGCTGATTGGCTTTGAACATGGTAGCGAACAGAGCTCTTAGCCAATCAAAGATTTGACCGCTATGCTGCGTGCACCATAATTTATCAGCAAATAAGAAAATATCTTTCAATCCCTTTTGAATGGTCGAATCATGGCATATCTTTCTTGTGTTGATTAATGATCAGTTATTCATAACCATCTCAACAGCAAATCTGCGGTAATTTTCTCTTTTCTTTTGAAAGTGCCACATTGAAGATGTCTGGTAATTCAGGGTGTTTCTTGCTGTTTGCATCGATAAGAGCTTCATTTGTGTAGCTTGAATCTGTTAACCATAGGCCAGGAACAAGTTCAAAAATTGTGTCTACTCTTGAAATTGAGTTCCCTTTCACACAAAATTGTTCAATGCTCTTTATCATGTATGGCAATAAGTTGAAAGTAAGGTAATCATTTTTAGAAAAAATGACCTTGTCAATCATGCTGTGAGATTTCACATTGTATATAAGTACCTCAGCTTCAGTTAAGTTGATTTCGGTTCTTGTTGCTGTTCTTCTGCCAATCGTTTTGAAATGTAAATTTGATTGTCAATATATTTGGGATTTTGGAGTGTTTGGCTTGCATTTTTCTTGTGGATCCTTGTTCAGGATATTGTAAATACTATCAGTTGACTTTCCCTCTTGTACCATTTGACCAACTTTCTCTGACAATACTGGGACTTTTCTGTAATAGCAAGATGTCGTTGGCTTCTTTGCATTACCATGACGTGGTAGAACAAAAGGCCTATTGGCAGCTGCATCCCCCCACTTTTAAACCACAAGGTATTAGGGCCTTGCTTCTTTCTCCAACATTCGTCCCACAACTAATGTGCGACTGAATGTTGGATTACTTTTGCGAAAATGATAAATGCGATTAAGGTCAAAAATTGATTCTGCGTTGACCTGAACATCGATATATGCTTTGCCTTTCTTTGACTTTACATACCATTCGCCATCTCTTTGGTGTGCAACCTTACACATATCATTGCCATAGAAGCATTGTTTCTGTGCACTACCTTTGGCAATGTATGCACCATTGTCGTCACACTCAGCTGATGCAATTGAAATTTCTCGAGCATCAAGAGTGAATGCCTTATTTTCCCGTACTGCTGTTGTTTTCTTACCCAGGTTCATTTCTTCAGGATTTTCAAGGAGAATGTTTAATATAACTTCTGCTTTTTCAAAATCTTGTGCATCAACATCTGTTGAGTCATCATCAATAGAAATTATGTCATGGTCTTTACTCTTTTGTTCTGTATTAAAACCACCGGACTTGGAAGACCTAAAACATGAATAAAGGCAAAATAACCAAAACAGATTCACGTCAGAATTCTTATACTGTTGTATTAGAGTTTTTTAACTTTTCAGGATTGTTCTGGATCTTGTTATAAGTTTACAAGCAGCTTCGTCATCATAATCATCGCCAATATCAGCTTCATCACATTTTTTATCAGCAAAATCCATGAAAACATTTGCAACAGTGTCTGGACATTCGGTGGATATATGGTTATCAGTTTCGGGATTCCTAGTCATTAAATTTAACTGCAACTTGTGAAGTAATTTTTCGAGTGGGTACACTCCATTTTTGAAGGACTTGTGTTCATGTGACTTCTCCTAGCACATAATGCAGCTTAAGGTTTGAAAAGTCGACGATAGTGTACATAAAAGCAGCCACATGCTTGCAGCACCCTCCTTCCCAGCTTTACAACTGCAATTGGCGTGGACAACACTGGAACTCTCCATGTCCAAACGAACATTGACAGAATACCTTATGCTCTTCATTGACGCTGCAACATTAGCTTTTACTAAAAACAGTTTGGAACCACCAGCATTTACATTTGGCTTCACTTTGGTATTTGAAACAATCCCCTCCTTCCAAAGTTTTTACCCCTCCATTTTGTGACGATATCCTGGCATGGTTTTTGTACTTTTTATCAATTGGTGATTTAGATTGTCCTCTGTAAAGTTAGGAAGATCCTTCAGATAAATGCGCCACCCACTCTCTTGGTCAACACAGGCACGTAAATACTGGTGGGTGTGAGAACAGGGGGGTTGTGACACCCCCGAATCTTTCATCTAGTCGGAAAATTTGAAGATAGTCGGAAAATTTAAAGCTGTTGGTAGAAAGCTGGGTTAATCTGAGAACATTTGAATTATTTGTGAAAATTGAAGTTTGACTCAGATGACCTTGTGAACTGTAGCTCAAAGAGAAGCATAAGAAAGGTCTAAGTTCAAAAGAAAATAGTTGTTTGGTAAAAGGCAGTCCTAAAAAGAATGAGAGGCGACGCAATACAGAAAAAACGAAGTTTTGTATGAAAATGCAAATTCGCTGTTGTATTTTCAACTACATTCGTCGTAATGGGGATAGTGTGGTAATCATTCCATCAAATTGCTTTTAAAAACTGGATACGAAATAGAATTTTTAAATAATATTTATCAGTAAAGCTTAAAGAAGCGCAGTACATTTCCCCTGACTTGTCAAGAACTTTCTCCGTTCGAGATCGACCAATGAAGGCTTCAGCTTCACCAATGAAGGCCCCACTTTTTTGCAAAAATGTATTTTTAAGCAAATAAAAAGAGTAAAGGAAAGATGTAAAGAAAAGAATAATCCGAAAAATCCTTTAGTTACTTAATTTCCAAGGAATACGCCGAGGTCTATGGGGCCTCATAAAGTAATGAATTCAATTTTAAGACTGGAATTAATCAAACGTAATAAGAGCATGCCTTAAAAATAACAAAATGTAATAAGAGCACGCCTTAAAAAACACGATTGCAACGATTCTGAAATGTATTTTAAGCTAATCTAAAAAGAATGATCGTGAAAATTTTCTGCTCGCTTCGCTTGCAGGAAAGCCACTTCTTTCGAATACCCCTAAGGCTTCCGCAATCTCCCGCCGGCCCCTTCAAACGTACCGCTAGCATAATAAGTGCCCTATAAAATAATAGGCATAAAATATCGTGAAACGTTTTAGTGCCTTTTTAAAAAGATGGTTCTTTAGTCTCATATCAACTCGCGACCCCCCCCCCCCCCCTTTGAATTTTTTGGCGCCGCCCCTGTGAAAGACTGAACGACCTCATGATTCTTACTTGTGAGAAAGACATTTTGGAAAACGTAAATTTAGATCAGATAGTGGAACAATGGGTAAGTCGTAGAAGGAGAAAAAATTAACACCTGATTTTTGGACTATGTATGTTTTGATGCACTAATAAAACTAACAGTCTTTATGCTCGATCTTCCAAATTTACAAAATCTAGAAATTTTACCATACAGCTGAAAAATTATTAACGAGACAATATATAAGGTTTTGTTGGTAAAAGACTATTAAAGTTTAGGCCCTCATACAAAATTAGAATTGACCTTTGTCAGTCGGAATTTTTGAGCCCTTCACCCCCCAAAAAATTTCTGGCAATTTACGTCCCTGGGTCGACAAAATCATCTTGACTTTTTCCATTTGGGCCAAAACCCCCGGTGGGTGAATTGACCGTCGGAAACCTTGTTTCTGTGTCCCTCGAAAGCATTCCTTGACCCGCACGTGAGCTTAAAAAAACTGGGGTCAGATTCAGCACTCGAAAGAGATGACAATTTATCAAAAGCTGCACTAGAATCCATTTTGGTACCCGATTGGCGATCAAAACTGTATACTACTGCAATAGAAACGCGAATGTAAACAACGCACGCTTAACCATAAGATCCACAATGCATTGCGCGTCGCGCGAATAAAGGGGAACAGAGAATTTGTGTCCTAAATGCTGCGTCCATTTCTCTGCTCCTTGTTACTTCATTAAGAAGATCTGCTCTCCATTTCTTTTTAAAATCATCTCTCGCCGATGGTAGTTTGAAAATTCCAATTCCTTTAGTTCTTCGGCATGTTTCACAGCCAAATACCGAACAGTTATCTCAGGGCATATTTTACAAACTCACGAAATGTAAACATTGAGACGAAATGTAGGCATTGTTATTTTCAGTTATTTCTGTCCAGTTATTTTCTACTATTGAAACATTTTTAGGCCCACTCACCCATGGTTTCCAATTACTTGTGAAGGATTATGACGTCATAAAATGATGATAACGTCATGCAAAAGCGATTAGAAGTAAGAAAAATAGTAATTCTATGCATTCTTCAAAAGCACTGAATATGTGCTATGCAAGTATGGAACTTCGTTGACAGAAATAGTTGCGATAAAACAATTAATGCGGTTCAAAGTGAATTTTCCTAAGTTGATGACGTCATCAAAAAGTTTGACTTTTGTTTAAAATATTTTCCATTCAATCATGGATTTTAAATCTGGATAGTTTATTTAGTTGAAAAATTAAATAAAAGTTGAGGTCAAGTCTTTGGCTGACTTTTGAAGAATTTGGATGAATTTTTGATGACGTCATCAAAGACAAGCAACTTCCGGTGTAAATTTCCTTTGGCCCATCTTGAATTTGAATTATCCATGGTCGATTTAGTTGGTATGTGAAATAAAATTTGAGGTTAGGCAGTTCGCTATTTTTTCTACAAAATTCTCTGTCTAAAATACGTATTAAATTTCACTGCAGGAGACCAAGCTATAGACATCAAAGTATTTCTAAAACAGCCTGGTAAACATACCTGGTAGCCAGTAGAGGTACTCATACTTCGTCAGTCACCTCTTTATTAGCAAGCCTGAGCCAAACACAGTGGCGAGAAGAGGCTGGGTGTAAACAGCATATGAAATAAGCACGATAATCCCGAACCAAGGAAATTTAATACATCCATCCGAGTCAAGGGATTCACACTTTCGTGCAAAAGCACAAACTACAGAACTCGTTCTTCTCTATTATTCCCAGTGGCATCAAAGAAACACATATGGACTTAAATACTAAATTGAAGCATGACAATTGACACCCAAATGAGAATAATATAAAATAAGCTAAAATGTGAACTCCTAGCGAAATCAAATTCTACAACATCCCTCGTGAAATTAGCTCTGATAAAATTTCATTCGATCAGCATATAATATATTTTTCAAAAAATTAGGCTACGCCCCATCGGGACATTGCTCAAGATATGCTGTTCTATTGTTGTCATGAATATGTTGACATAATTTGGGGGCAATTAGTGTCATCACTGCCGTGCCTTAAGAGAGGGTAATAAAATTTACCATTAAACTCTTTTTTTATAAGAACCAGTAAATTAAAGGTCTGGCTGGTTGTTCTTAATTATTTTGAAAATTTGAGGCTAGATTGTTCTTAATTTGTTCTTAAATTATTAGGGTGTAAGCAGTGCAATTGCTAGCTATTGCGCTCTAGGGAAGTGTTCAAACCTTATTTGCCAACAAAGTTTGTAAGACATATTGTATTTGCCAATAAGTTTGAAAGTTCACCGAAGAAGCACCCCTAGATGGCAAAAAATTCCTACATTGTTTTGAAAGCAGTATAATTATGTTTGAGAATAAATATCACCATTTGTTGTACTTAATATGCAGCATAACAGTTTCCCCATAATGACTTTTAATGTGTGTTGTAAAAAAATGAGCGCATCCTCTCTTAGACTCCAGGATGGAAGGTTGCCACTCTCATTAAAAAACATGTTCTTGCTCGTCTCCCAAAGTTTGAACTTCGGTGAACCTGTGGACACAGCAAGCGAGGGGCCTAAGTGGGTATGACTTTCTTTGAGAATTATTTAGTGTTAGGGAACCGAGAGCCAGTTTCTCAAATTTTCAACATTTTTGCCAGGGCAAAATTTTTCTGCAGTGCAAATATGCAGCCAACCTCTCCCAACAAAATGTATGAAGTGACGCCCCTGATGACAATAGCACTGCCAATTAGCTGCCCAAAGACAGAGTCACAAGTTTCAGTTAAACCGAAATAATGAAAAGCTCCAAGCAACTCGAATCTATTTTTCAAACTTCGGGCGGAACATCAACAACCCTTTTCTAGTTTAAGCGGATACTTCTTCTTCTTCAATTTAGTTTAACTTTGCTTTATATCTGCCTGGATTGAACCTACTAGGAATCATCTTTCTGTTTGTAAGCCGCATCTCGGAAACCTTAGCTGCTAGTTTTAGTTTTGTGCTAAACATGCACTAACAATCAATAAACTGAATACATGAACTGCTGGTGTTTAGATAGAATGGTTACAGAAACCTGGCAGTGTTGTACATTGGTTCATTCTATGAAAAGATGAGAAACCGCGAGAAACCGCGAGAGACCGCGAGAGACCGCGAGAGACCGCGAGAGACCGCGAGAGACCGCGAGAGACCGCGAGAGATCGCGAGAGACCGCGAGAGACCGCGAGAAACACGAAGCCATGAAACTACAAATGCATTCTTGAACATTAACGTCATTAAAAAAGTATGGCCTGCATGCTAGTTATTTTCCTATCAAAATATTCACGGTTACGAAAACCTGTTACATTTAAAACCAAGAAACGTCCCATTAAATATATAAATATAGTCTGAATGCAAAATTATTCAATTCACTATTCGAAAGCGATGTATTAAATATGAAATTCTTTACCAAACCCATTGTTAAAATTAAAACCCAACCACTATTACAATTGATACTTTTCAAAGTCGTTATCAAATCAAATCCAACAATTTGAAATTCATATTTAAAAATTCATTTCTACGCAACATTAATTGAATGAAAGACCCTGTCCTAGCACATAGGAGACCTGCATCGCGCAAATCGAACAATGAAATCGCTGATACAATAGTAACCAGCACGTGAAATCTTGCGTAGTGGTCATGTGGTTCTAGGAAATCAGTTACTTGGTTTGTGGTATATGAAAAGGACAGGTAAAGGAGAGCTAGCACAGGGCCTCCATACTTATATACATTGCTATCTGCGAACACCAAAATTTAGCTTTCTGTTCATTTATCAAAGTTCAGAAAAAGCTAACTAATTAGAGATTTCTAATGATTGGTTCCCTTTTTCAATTGAGGTTCGGCTACAAAGATTAAAAGGAAATTCCTTAGACATTAAGATCTAGAAATTGATTCAATTTTCACCCGAATCTGCTGAGACATCAATGGAACCAAGGTTATAGCCTGAGATCTCATTAAGCAGCATAATTAATCTAAATATTAGAAGCGTTATTAATGTAAAGACCCAAATTATTTGTGTATAGTTTAAACGTTATATAAATATCAATATTATTCCCAGATTGCGTATAAACATCTTTACTACTAAAATTCAGAATAGCTGCAGTTACACTTTGACTAGCAAAAAGGCTTTAATTGAGAACTTAAGAAAAAACCTCCAATTTGTTTGAAATGATATTGATGCCAAAGAACAGTTTGAGATATATTTCTTCAAGACCAGAGGAAAATCATTCACTTGGCTGAGACCTTTTTTGATACGTGCAAATGTAGCCCTTTGACTTTTTTAAGAAACAAAGGGCGACATGAAGTGGATAAATTTTAAGTGGTTGAAGGCCAACGGAAGCACCAGAGAAATGAAACAGAACTGTTCTTCTTCGCAAAAACGATTTGGAGGCAGAAAACTTACCTGATCAACCAGTAAGAGGCTTCTGGATCATTTCTAGAACAAAAATTTTAGAGAAATTGAGCAAGAGGTATCCGATAAATAGACAAACCCGGTATTAGACAATTCCTTGTTGTACCATTGAATAGACAAGGCCATTATATTAAATTAAGTTAAACGTTTCGACTCTAGCTAGAGTCACATTCAGTATATAGAGGTATGTTACTTATACATAACCACACACTATGTTAAAAAACATTTTGCCTGGAATTCCTTTAACTAGAAAAAGATGTATTTAACTGACACTTTGCTATGACAAACCACCGTAGTTGGCAGATCCAAGTAAGAAAACAATTTTTTTCTGTTACAACATCTGGTTTTTTTTATCAATATAGACTGGTTTCAAATCGCTTTAATGAAAAAAGGACTTTGCTTGTAAGTAACTCACAAATAATCATTTTTGTATGCTTTGAGGCAGATAAACCTCTAGCGGCCGAGAGATTAAGGGCCGCCCAGAGGAAAGACGCTAGCCTAAACTTGCAATATAAAAAGGGCATTTGAATTCATATTGCTAAAATATAAAGAGAATCGTTTAACTTGATAATTTAACTTCAACTCTTCTTTCTCAACTACTAAAAACATAAAAGTTAGTAGCCATACCTCTTAACTTCATCTGGGATGAAAATATACTCCAGGGATAAACTTCTTCGCAGTTCGTGCAGAGATTTGACGAATTTTATCGTACGTGAAAATTTTGAGCTGAAATAAATTAAAATACATTAGCAAATTGCAAATTGCTTCCAGAAATTGCAAGAAGAAATTTAAAAAGCGCTAAGCCATGGCGCTTTGACTCCCGTGAAAATTTTGCGGTATTTTTCTTGTTTAGAAATACATGTCCAAATTTGTACGACTTAAACAGGACGGCAATTGCCCTAATCAAACAATAATTAGATGCTATTTACTTAAAAGCAAGAGGTCTAGACATCAAAACAACAACAACAACGACAACAACAATAACAATTTTAAATAAGCGTCCTTACCTGATAAACGGCTTGTAGAATCGGAGGACAGTCTTGAGCCAGAGATCAGGGTGGACAATGTACAGCGTATTCAGGGTTTTTTTCAATCTTAAAATGTATGATGTATATTAAGAAAAGCAATATGTTGCCTTTAAAAAGCAAAATAGCAAGAATAACCAACAAGGATGAAAAATGTTTTGAGCCAATCAGACTGTTTGTTTACAATTTGAACCAGCCAATGGTATAGCGTCAAAGACAATAGAAATCTGAAGAGAAAATAGCATCGAATCAGCCGCAACAGTAACGCTCGCACCTCCTATCCAAAGCTGTGGGGAAAAACCGGCGCCACAAAAAGTTAACGCTGAACGCGAAAATTGTCATTATTGAAGTGCTTCATACAATTATGCATAGCAAAGGAGTATATCTAAAACTTTGTCGTCCCCATTTTTAAAATTCGGTCGTTAACCAGAGATAAGCGATGAAACGTTTAGCCCATTATTGCCCTGATTGAATCTGCTCACGATGGTTATGGTTGGTTGTACTCCAAGAAAACGGCATCATGTCATTTTATTGAATAACAGGTCATTTTTCACTTACAAATATGTACGTCGTATATTTTAAAGTAAGACAGAGATATAATTATCAAACTCGGTTTTTTTGCCTTTTTCTTGCATGTTCTTAACTCTAAGACAGTCCCTCAACTTTCTTTCATAGAGTGCGTTCTAGAGTGTTGCGTACAGAAGAAATGCATATCTTGAGAAAATAGCGGCATTGTTGCAAATATTTATTCCAAAATCATATGCCTAGTCCTGATTTTGGTACTTTTGTAGGTGCAAGCAATGGTTCTTCTCATGGCAAAGTTTTGTAGGACGATTAGTCAACGAATTTTGTGTACACGAACTGATTAACGTGGCTTCAAAACGTTAGAAAGTAAACGATAAAATGTTTTCTCTAAGCCCGCAACGGCCCACGCTATCTGTCTCCACTGAAATAAATCCCCTGGTTTATTAGTGACTTATTTACCGATTCATTTAAGAAAAAACTCAGAAGTACTTACCAAGTGCTTGAGGGCTCAAGAATTGTATTCTTATTTACTGTTATCAGTGAAAATGTAGAGTGTATTTGTTGAGTGAAAGGTTCAAGGTTTCCCAACTTTGCATGTCGATATATTCAAACATTTTTGCAAAGTTTCATTAAAAAGAGTTGGAGAATGTGCCACTTTACAAAATATAAGCTCAATAATGACCCTGATCGTTGTATTTCAATAAGATAATGAGAACTCAAAGAAAGTAGCTTGTTATATCTCAATAGCTTTTTCAGTTAAAGGTTTGATTCAAACTTTTGCAGGTCTTGCAGAGGTTTGAAATTTTACTTCACAAATTTTTAAAAAAACAATTTTTGAAATAACAAGTAAAATGTGCACAAATTTTCAAGGTTTATTTTCTGCTTAAATTTTATCAACGATCTGTAAAAAGATTGTAAAATGACCTGTTTTTCAATAAAATGACATGATGCCGTTTTCTTGGAGTACAACCAACCATAACCATCGTGAGCAGATTCAATCAGGGCAATAATGGGCTAAACGTTTCATCGCTTATCTCTGGTTAACGACCGAATTTTAAAAATGGGGACGACAAAGTTTTAGATATACTCCTTTGCTATGCATAATTGTATGAAGCACTTCAATAATGACAATTTTCGCGTTCAGCGTTAACTTTTTGTGGCGCCGGTTTTTCCCCACAGCTTTGGATAGGAAGTGCGAGCGTTACTGTTGCGGCTGATTCGATGCTATTTTCTCTTCAGATTTCTATTGTCTTTGACGCTATACCATTGGCTGGTTCAAATTGTAAACAAACAGTCTGATTGGCTCAAAACATTTTTCATCCTTGTTAGAATAACCACATTTAAGATTTAAAGGTTTTCAGCTTCAATTCACAAAAGTAGTAATTTTAGTTTGCAAAAATTGCACTCCCTAGTACAAAGAACCGTCCTTTGACAAAAAAGCATGTTTGAGCACAAAACAAATCCAAAGGAAAACCAGTTCGGACTTCCCCACTTTCCTCCTTCCCACTTCCCTCCTTCTCCTATGCCCTCCTTCTCTCTTCCCTCCTTTCCCTCTGCCTTCCTTCTATCTCCTCTGCCTTCCTTCCACACTTCACCCCCTTCTCGATTTTTTCACTTCCTCTTATCTTTCCTCCTTCCCACTTCTCTCCTTCTCATTTGCCATCCTTCCCACTTCCCTGTTACCCCCTTTCTCAACTTCTTCTCTTCATCTTATCTTTCCTTCCTCCAGCTTCCCTCTTTCCCCTCTGCCCTCCTTTCCCACATCCCTCCTACCCCCTTCTCGATTTTTTCACTTCCTCTTATCTTTCCTCCTTCCCACTTCTCTCCTTCTCATTTGCCATCCTTCCCACTTCCCTGTTACCCCCTTTCTCAACTTCTTCTCTTCATCTTATCTTTCCTTCCTCCAGCTTCCCTCTTTCCCCTCTGCCCTCCTTTCCCACATCCCTCCTACCCCCTTCTCGATTTTTTCACTTCCTCTTATCTTTCCTCCTTCCCACTTCTCTCCTTCTCATTTGCCATCCTTCCCACTTCCCTGTTACCCCCTTTCTCAACTTCTTCTCTTCATCTTATCTTTCCTTCCTCCAGCTTCCCTCTTTCCCCTCTGCCCTCCTTTCCCACATCCCTCCTACCCCCTTCTCGATTTTTTCACTTCCTCTTATCTTTCCTCCTTCCCACTTCTCTCCTTCTCATTTGCCATCCTTCCCACTTCCCTGTTACCCCCTTCTCGATTTATTCACTTCATCTTATCTTTCCTCCTTTCCCCTTCCCTTTTCCCCAAATTCCCTGCTTCTCCACATCCCTGATTCCGCACTTTCTCTCATCCCTACTTCTTCGCTCCCCTACATTCCCCTAGCTTATCTTTTTCACTTGCCGACTTTCCCCTTCTTACATTCCTTGCTTTACTGCTTTTCTTCTACTTCCCCACTTCCCCATTTCCCATTTTCCCATTTCCCCCTTTTATGCCGATCAGCTTAATCGATTCTCCCCTTCCCCACTTTCCCCTTCGCGGCTCCCTTTCTTCACTGCTTTCCCTTTCCCACTTCCCTGATTCACCATCTCCTTACTTCCCAGTTTACTTTTTCTCCCCACGTTCTTGCTTCCCTACTTTCTCACCTCCCTTATTCCTTGTTTTCCTCTACCAAGCCCATTTCTTTTTTACATCACTTTTTCCACTCCTTACTGCATCGCTTCACCTTTCCCGCCTGCCTGCTTTTCTCTCCCCGCTTTCCCTTACCCACTTTTTCCTCCCCGTTTTCCCCTCCCCGCCCCCCTCCCTGCTCCCCTGCCCGCCCCTCCCTGCTCCCCCTGCCCGCTCCCACCTCTCAGCTTTCCTGCTTTCCCTCTTCCATGATATAATAAAGGCTACATACCTGCGCTGCACCATATCGTAACACTTCTTAAGCCAGTCAAGACCAGGCTGATTGGATCCGTGGGAATTGAAGTAAACGATGTCGTAGTTTTCTTGAACAGAAAGATCGATAGTGTGCACAGCGTAGCTGTCGTGAAAATAAAAAACATTTAGCCATTTTGAGAATAGGTTATATATATCCCACTTCATTTTTATTCAAGATAAATTGTAACAATTTTGGTTTGGCTTAGAAGTTTTAAAACAGAAATCCTCCAACCGAATGGCATATACGGGGTTATTTGGGGTTGGGCGCGCAATGCAGGTTTAAAACTGTTGTGAACAAAGGGCGCTCACAACGCAGAGCAATTCCTATTAAAAACTATTTAAAATATGAATCAAAACGTCCAAGATAAGAGATGCAAACCTTAATCCGAGAAATGAACATATGATATAGACTTTAGGGATGAAATTAGGATTTCCAAAACTTTAAACAAAGATTTAAGATCTCTCAATGCCAAAGAGATCCAATAAAACTTGCGTTTTAATACCATATCTCTATACTTGCATTCTAAATAGCATATGACTGAATTGAATGGGAAAAATTCGAAAACAAATCGAAAATTAACAAACAATCGTTTGGTGCTACAAAATTTAAAATGGCTTTGAAAAAAGCGATTTGCTTTTTAGTGAAAATTAGTAAAAATGATTTGAAATTCGAAAAGCTACAAAAACGAATTGCCTATTTTAGCATAAAAAGAACATGACGCATGGAGGTTACTCACTAAAATAGCTGTTCCATGACAATTTCGTATTTTGGAATGTATTTTGCAGGCAAAAAAGCAGCTGTGAATACCATAACCACCCTCTTTTCGTTGCGACATTCATGAATACCTAAAGAGAACGATTTCGCCATATGAGAATCTTTATATGAGAAATGAGAAAGACAAACCATTGACACTGTCAACAAGATATGAAGTTTCATTCAGTACAACCTTTTTAACAAAGTAGACAGTTATACCACTATCAGTGTTTTGCTGTGTAGGAAACATATGACACGATATCAGGTAGGTATATTTACACTTATGCAATGTACTACATGGCAACTGGAGTGAAGTTGAACCAAGATCGTCGCTACCAATAAGGATCTTTCAGCAACGCAGAGTACAGTAGTCCCGTCGTTTCCTATAAACTATTGAGTAATACCTATTGACTTTGATGATATTGACTAATATCGTCTGTGGCAAAACACGTGAAAAATATTTCCTCGAACATCCCTTCATATAACTTCCAATATATTATCAAGGCTATAGACTTAAAAAACAAGTTGGGAAACATAAACGGCCCTCCCCCTTTCCCCCATCATTAAATCTAACAGCTATATATTTCTTCACGAAGGTCCCGTTGTTCTCCTTAAAGTTATTAGGCAGGGTCCATCAAATGAAAACGGAAGGCAATCCTTACCTCCATGCGTAATTATTTTGATAAACGGATCAATCAGCTTCAAATCGATGACACGCAACAAACCGCCAACAGAAACTGATACGAATCTGTCCCATAATCCTGGTACGTGCTTCTCACAGCCAATTTGATTGGCCCATTCGCCTTCATCGTTTACAGCACAGGAACAGCTGGCAACATCAGCTCGGCCCATTTCCTCGTCCTCTGAGAAGGAGAATCTTTGGACTAGTTTGCTGGGGCTTTCATACTAGGTGGAATACAAAAATTCAAAATGGCTAGGTGAAGCTAGAGACTTTACTTTCTATGACTTAAAAAATTCCTAGCTATTGCTAGGTAAAAACCAAGAATTCACTGCGAACGAGGGAAACTTTCTGCCTCCATGAAAACAGCATCAGTAGCTATAAAGATCCAATTCCATATTGCTATTTAGAAGGTTAGGATCAACGATAATTAATGAATATAGACCTTGAGAGCCAGGCTGAATAAGTACAGAATTTCAGTCAAGACTTCTTATTTCATCTGATTAAAAACTCTGAATGAAATAGTTCTGAAATACGCAATAAATATACATAAAGTTTTACCAAAAGCTATTTTACTATTTGTTACTATCCAGTCTTGTCCAAGGGTAAAAGGACGACATCAAACACAAAAGGATAGAGTACTGAAAAAGGTCAAAAAAGGAAAAAATACAAAATGATTCAGATTTCTTGATGTATTACTTTTAAAAAGATACTTATCAGAGATAGGCAAGTCGTTGATCCAGCAAATATGCAATAAATTAATAGCTGCATATAAAAGATGAAGGCAAAAGGGCTAGATATAAAATAGCGAATGTAGGTAAGAAATGTCTTTATCTCTGATATGCCACTGTTATTGGGTTCCTTAGAGCAATGACTACGATAATAAGGACAGAAGCGAAAGCACAGAGCACAGCGGTTGTGGGTAAGGAGCTGAGAGTCTTAAACAAGGAGTTGAGGGTCTGTAAAAAATTTATTGTCATGGATGTTTCAATATGGGCCTAGATCAAAAGATAGAATAAGAGAAAAACATTGCAACAAAACTCAAGAAATAGACAAATGAAATATTTGTGAAAGGTGCCTTTGCTCGAAAAAAAGAACAACAAAAAGCGTAGAATTGATGTAGAAGGACAACGTTTTCTAGCAGAAAAATTAGAAAAATGATGTTGCGGAAACTGAGCCATTCAGCACATTACGGGTAAATCTGCGTAATGATTTTTTCAAAGGAAAAACTGAAGCAAACTTTGTTTACCTCATTCTTAAAGCTAGTCTGTCCCCTTCATGATTGTCTTATTCTAACTTAAAAGCCTCGCCTTTAGAGGGTCTTCTTCTGTCCTTTTAGCATAAAACATTCGTTTTTGTGAGTGAACACGACAAAAATTTCGTATCTTTATATCACTGAAACTAATTTAGACGTCTGACACCAAAAGAAAATTAATAGAAACTCTCTCCGGGAGAGTACGCTGTAGTGGTTCTTCGTTCTGATTGGTTGTTTGCGAATTTAATCAACGACTGTCTTTAATTCAATGTCAGTCAGATGAAGAGTGAGAAAGAAGGCAACGCGAGTGTGATTGAATGTATTTTGTGTGTACATATCACCAGCATATTAATCATCCAATACAAACCAAATCAAGAGTAGGTTACCTGTTTGGGCGATGAATCAAAGCCAGAAGAAGACACCGAGGAGCGCGCCTCACTCTCATCACTGAACTCTCGATCTCCTGAGAATGGATTTTCCACAACCATGTCGTGCTCTTCCTCTTGAATTGAATCGTTTCTGTCAATCTTTCTCTGTTCTGATAACGATGTTCTCCACTTTTGTTTCCCCATCCCGGGAGACTTCTTCGCTTTTCTTTGATATTTTGATGGTAGCTCTGACTTTGTCCGCCTTAATGGGAAATCTATCAAGAAAGTAGGCACGCAGAATCAAGAAAAGTCAAAAAGAAATGCTGTTACCCGGAGATACCGAGCACTGCCATAAACTGAGTAGAAAGAAAACTGTAGAAAGAAAAAACTCAAACGCACTAATCTGAGGTTGCACAGAGCAGAATTAAGGAACGGCGAGTATTGAAGATTTAGATGTAGCAAATATGAAACACCGCAATTGAAGATTTCACAGTCTCACACCAATACGGGAAATGTAGCGGCCCTTACTACAACACTAAAACGAAATATATGGCCGCACATTCGTTAAACACAAGGCGCAACACTGCCTTTCATATACCATTCGTTAACCAGACGATCGGATGTTCAAAGCCGTTTTTATCCTTTAATTTTGTGCAAGAGGGGCTTTTCATCGATACTCGGTACATAAAAAATCAATTCCTTAAAAGGAAAGAGATAAGCGAAAGTCATTTACCTTGATCTTCATCTAGTGCACTGCATAGGTTCTCGATGGACTTGGTTTTACGGCGAATATCTTTGAGCACGACGTCGTCATCTTCGTCATCTTCTGTTACAGCTAGAAAAACAGGACACAGTAAATCGATTCCTGACAGTTCGGAGAACGGACCGTTGTCATCAAATGACAAATCGTGGATGATAATTTTATGCTTTTGACCAGACACTGGGTCGTTGCTCACTGGAGATTTCACGTCATACATTTCCGATTTCCAATTGTCTTCAAACTCTAGAGACGGCTGGTCAATGCCATTGTCCATCTCTGTGTACGCCTCCTCCAAAGCAGCCCTGAAGCTAGGCTCAGGCTGCGTCGGCAACGTTTCTTCTAAAGATGATTGGCTGTCGACGTCATGAGATTCAGAACACGGCGAGTTTGCCTCAGCGACCTTTGAGTAAGATGGACCCTTTTTGTTCCAATCATTGCTGAAGTCCTCACACTGCTCTTCAGACGGGCTTGCTGATTGCCTTCTTAGTTCTGTCTGGTCGACTTCGTTGTGGTCAGAGGAGCTGTTTCGTTTTCTACTAACCGAGCAAGTTGCTCGAGCATTGCTTTGTAATGACATCATCCCACTTGTATCTGATTGTAAAGTAACTGTTGTGTTGTTATTTTCACCCTGGTATTGTGCGAATCTGTTTGAAAACATACATTTTTAAAAGCTAGCAAGAATGTGTTTACATCCACAATAAAAAGTGGAAGACTCTTCTTTTTTTATAGAAAGAGTGAGATATCAAGAGTAATGTCCAAAATCCAAATTTTTAATTGTTTTCTAATCAAGCTCCATTCAATCAAAAACACAAACGCAACAACTCTAGAAAGAATTTTCCAAGAAAAAATATGTCACAACCAAGCCCCCTCCCCCAACCCAATGCCCTATTGTTACAACGGAAGTTTGTGCAAGCATTGCATTTATTTGATTGGTTCAAACCATGGCGAGTTTAAAAACTGCATGGGTATGGATTTATTGGTGGAGATTTTTTCAACTAGCTAAATTAACTACAGTCCAAAGGCATCTTTTCAATCCTTTTGGTTGAATAACTCGTTGGATGAAAGTCAAATTGTCACTCTATCCACAACTGCACAAGCAGAGCCACACCCAATCAGTTTAGTGAACAACGCACAATGTGCAGTCATCTAGCAGATCAGTCCTTTCACAGGAAAGGCTGCTAGCATAAAAGATTGTTATAGTTCTTATAGGTTTGGCTACTCCAGGGAAAAAGATATCCGTTTAAATCTTTTTAACACTAAATGTACGAGCAATAACAGAACTAAAAGTGGCTGAATAATTTGATTAGCAAGGCTGTTACGTTCCAGCTAGAGAATTACGGTATGGTAGCCGAAAGAAACTCAGAAAAAAAGCCATCAAGTAAAGATAAAATTCCTTTTACAACGATGCATCGATCCAGAATGTAACAAAACGTTAAGGAAAACCAAAGTCAGACATTGCAACGAAGCATCATGGAGAGGACTCCAAAAGAAAAGGCACTATGTCCAGTCAGTCAACCGTTCAGAGTTTACACAAGGCTTTGCAACGGGTTATTGGTAGAGAAAACATTGAGAATTAGCCGATTGGATACGTGACAATAGGTCTATTGTATAGTCCAACCAATGGTAATTTAAATGGCCAGTACGTCAGGACATAGTACCTTTAAGGGAACACATTTCTACGCCAAATATTACGGCACCATACTGCAAAAATTCTAGACGCATAAAGCCAAGAAAAGCAAACAGAAAGTGAAGCAGCATATGAATTCATTTGATTCAATATATTTGATTCAAAGCTCTGAGATTTAAACAGAAACGTGCACTCGGCTCTAAAGAGAATATTTGACAAACGGTTAAAGGCACAACCGGCATGCTTTGCTGTCGCGTTTTTTTCATTTGATGAGAAATAAAGAGTATTTCGTATTTCATGCAGTGCGATATTGGGCCCGTTTTGAAAATATAGTTGCAAAGTACGCCGGTTGCGCAAGAGCCTTCAAGAATCGACTATCCAGGAAAACAGAAAAATTACATATATTTGGCCTTTTTGGGAAGATACTTGTACAAGGGAGACAAGATGCCTGCATTGTCAAGCCAATTAGTGCCCCTTACAAATATCTAACCAAAAAAATAAAAACCCCTTAAGTCTCGTGGAACATATAAAGAAAACTTCAGAGTGCTTTCTACACATTTTGACCCTTTTTATTTTGATTAGCTTATAAAAGCTCCTCCGGTTAATAGTGATAGCCATTTCAATCAAAGGCATTGAATCATGGTAAATAGATATCCTCTAACAAAATTTTTCGGGTGATCGCGGCAGTTCATGTAAAATGGGCATTCGCTGTTCACAACCCACTATTGATGGAAATTGTTTTGTTAATCAATACTAGATAGGTTCATATCACCAACCAATAGCAACGCAGCACGAAAGTCATGACTTAGCGGATTTGGGTACGTTTGGGCACACACTCTCCTTTTATTATGACTCAATGCCTTCAAAAACACGCTTTTTTCTAATTTTACATCTGAAGCTAATTTTTCCTCTTCTTACAATAGTCAATATTTTGGCAAATTGAGCTACTGTGTTTTAACGGAGTAAATTTTGACAAAAATGAGTATTCAACCATTTTCAAAATAACCACCACTTTATTACATTGCTCACATTTTGTACGGGCATTTTCATCTTTTTGGTTTCTTATTAACTTGGCTTTAAAAAAAGGACGTATTTAAATCTCCCGTTTTAAAAAAAGAAGAAATGTGAACACAGGGTTGAAATAGACGAATTTCAACCGACTTTCATATAAAATCAAAGGGGTTTGAAAAGGGCCTATTTAATTTCTCTAAATTACAACAAGAAAATAACACTTATTGCAACTTAAGAAGATATAACGTGATACTGGTCACATGCTTAAGAAAGCATTTCAGCGGAACACGTATTTTGTGTTTCAGCGGAACAGTTAATGTTAACAACTGGAATTTGAAGAAGGTTCAGTAAGCGGACTTGCTAATGATAAACATTGCTAATTAAATTCTTAAATTCAAACTTGAAATCAAACAGTCCACGAAACCACATCTAAATACAGGCTCGGAAAATAACATTACCTTAATGAACTAAAGAATAATCTTCAAAAGAAATGTCTTCAAAACCAAAAAGTTAATAGATTCTTTCAGGTTGAATAGGGGGGAAAAGCAAAATCATAGCAAACTCACTTTCTCTTGAAGAAGTTCATCACAAATGGCATCAATAGTTTCCGCGAGTATTTCGGGTCTCCCTGATTTAAAAAATCGATTAAAGAGCAGCTGAACTTGGCTTTTTCCAATTTCAACTCTTCCATTCCGAGCAAATACCGCAAGAATGTTTCCCGCAGGGCCTGGTCACTACTGTATATAACAAGATCCCGCTTTGCTTCTTCTTTATCGCAGTGAATAAACATTAGTAACAAAAGGGCAAGGCAGTTACGTTTACAGAACGACTGAATATCCTCAACTGCATTTTCTCTCGAAAGAAGATTACCAGCTTCCATTGTGATGCTTGAAATGCCGAATCTTGTCTCGTCATCCAGTTGAACTTCCTTGAAATCCTTTCTAAGAATGTCTCGCGTTGGCAAATGGGAAATGTTATATTTTGCTGTGAATGAAAAAGAAAGTATTCAGTTCCATTGCGAACATTTTGACAAATACAAGCATGATAACAGGTGACAGCGAGAGCGAAATGGAGACTGGCTCAAAGATAATGGAACCTACTCAAAAATTACGTGTGTTTAAAGTCTTTCAGAGAGAAAACTCCACATAACAGTACCTTCATGGACATGAAATCTTTCAAGGATCGTTGGCTCGCAGAAAATACGTGTTACCCTGCGTTATCAAATTGTATTTAAAGTAAATTCACCGACCCACCTTTTTGTGCAATTTCAAACAGCTCTTCCTGGGGGATTTTCGAATGCGTTTCTAGATCTTCAGCAAATTCGACATCCTTGACGGTCGTTCTTCCGGCACCGGTCTTTAAATTGACTGTGTCAAGCAAGATAGCAGAGAGCAGCAACTCAGCGACAGGAAACTCTTTAAACAAATCTTCAGCGTGGTTGTAAATCTTTTCTGCAACCAGAGTACAGCATGACCCAACCAACTCGATTGTTTTGGCAACACAAGACTCTTCAAATGACTTTGTGTCCACGTGATGATCTGAAATCAAACAATAAACACGAAATGTTTCCACAATCGAACAAAACAGCGAACAGAGTTAAATAGCCCTTGAATTCATCAGAATGACACTAGATTTAGGTTTCTTCGAAGGAACAAATAAGTACCGTATTTATTAGATCAGGGGTTCTTAATTTTTTTTAAGTGCCGGGCTAGAAAAACATGTGGATTTACTTCGGGGGCCACTGAGTTTTCGATTTTTACATAGCTTGTGTCAAAAAAATTGAAGTTCAGATCTCTTACTTGCCAGGCTATTTTAGAGATAAGATAGGGAGGCCTATTATTTCTTGTTAGATTCTTTATTCATAAAATCTATGTACTGCGCTTATTTTCATGAAATAAGTTATGGAAAGGTGGATGAGAGGAGAGAAAAAGATGGGGCCATGATAACACCTAGGAACATGGTGCTGGCTTGATGTTAGAGGGATTGGCTCAATGTGCAATACCCGACAGATTTACACTGCCAAGGCCAGAGATAACTTTCTGGGGGGGGGGGGAAAGATTCGAACTGTTACAAAGTTTACAAAGGCAAAAAAATGATTTGCACAAAAATTTTGCAAAATGCATTTCTTTACCAGGTTGGATCGGAAGACAGTTGTGCAATTTTTAGATTACGACTTAATATTCGTTAGGTTGACTTAATGCACTTGAAGTCGGATCCAGGGACGGCGAAACGTATTTTAAAGTGGGGCCAAAATTTAATGATTGTGGTTGTATTTAAAAACGTCGCCACCATGGTTGGCGGCAGGAGAAATTTTGGATTATAATAACATAGGGATGGTCAGAAACTGCATCTAAAATAGAAACTTGATGGGAGAAAAGCTAACGTGTCAATAGTTTTATCTATTTTAATGTTGACATGCAAAGAGAGGGTCTTTCAAAGTTTCAGAATTAGAATAAGCATAACAGCGAATAATCAACTTTATAACAATGAATGAAACCAAAATAAGATGGAGAGAAAAAATAAAAAAACATGCTGCCTCATACACATACGCTTATAAGTATGAACTTCATAAACTAAAGATTGAATCTGGCTTTGGGCTTGGGATCTCAGAAAGTGGAGGAATTGGTGAGGTCATGGTGAGTTTATCAACAACCTATTTAATTCTATGAAAGCAGTTACATATTTTGCTATAAAACGTTTAATTGATTAAATAAAGCATTTCCTATTTTCGGACCTCCCTTTCGGACCAATTACTGGTCAACGGGACGCACATTTCATTTACTGCAGAGAAAAAATATCAGCGCAGTCCAAAAGCAAAACTCCAAAAAGCAAAGTGCAAAGTTGATTATAAGCTGCACCCACAACACCATGCAAGGATGCTTGGTTCGAAATGACAGGCGCAAAAACTGATGAAAGCCCGATTGTGTACTTAAACAAAAAAATAGACATTAGAAGTTCAACCAACAACAATATTGCACAGCATAGAAAGATCAAAAGCATCTACAAGCATTTCTTCCTCATTTTCTACATGTTACTCTAAGCTTCAAGGTAGCAAGAAAGCTTGGCAGGATCTGGATGAATGATAAAAGGGCACCCTCGTTTATAAGCCGCCCTCGTTTATAAGTCACCCTGGTTTATAAGCCGCCCTCGTTTATAAGCCGCTTTTGATTATAAGCCGGGTTAGGGTTTGTGGTAGATTGCAAGTAGTTGCTGTTGTCTGCTGGGTTGTTCAGTTGGGTTTGTCTGTCTTGGTGTTATGCAGTGGTGTTATGCAGTAGTGTTACGCTGCAGTGTTTTATTACTGTATTGCGATGCTGTTTACCGGGTTTTCACCGATTGTTTCGAATTTTTAGCACACTGCTCTGTTAGAATGGTCTGTCCTTATCCTATCCAGCAGTATATGACGGTAGTCAATCACAGTATCCTCTCACCGTCATCCACCGTAATGATATCACAACAGAAATGCTTACAAGCATTATGTTGCTACGCAATGCACAAGTTCATCCGTAGCGTAAGCATGTTAAAAATTTAGAAGCTGACAATTGACAATAAATGTAACAAACCTATGACCTCCGTGACACAGTCTCTCAAGTGTTTTAGATCCTCACTTAGCATGTTATGATCCACGAGAGTAACTTCCGAAATAGAATTGGAATGCAAAAGTCTCGAGAGGCATTCTTTAAAAAGTAACAAATCTGCTATCTGTAACCCAAGTCTTTCGAAAATTGCATTAACTTCAGTTTTTAGAACCATATCTTTCTCAAGGAAGTTCAAAATTGGAGCAAATAAGGTGCTGCAGCTGGCTCCTGCCTGCAAAACAAGATTAAAAATTCTAAATTAAACAGGACATGATAAAATTGACTGGTATATTAATAACAATAGAAAACAATTTAAACTTGCTGTTTAACTTGCTGTTTAACGTGCTGTTAAGCATGATATAACTTGATATTTATGAGAAAAAACTTGATTTTACTTCATGAAATAACATGAAATAATGAAAGAATAAATATTGTATATTAAGATAAAATCAAAGATCAGAGAAACAGTTGATTGCTATGGCTGTTATTTATCCTTTCTTTATAATCGCACATCAATCAGCAAGATAACAGGACAGAGGCCCACAAAAATAGTGCTTGAAAGACCCAATTGAGACTATAACATCCCATTCAATAATTTATCTATGGATAATTATATCCAGTACGTTGATCAGGATCTTTGCTGGTTTTGAATCACATGCGTTTTATCCAAAGCTCTTCTAAATTGATAGAGAATTTTGTCAAAAAAAATTGATACATATTCAAAGTAATTGCAGTCAATTGAAGCCACAGACCCAAGAACAAACCAGTTTATGTTGAAAAAGTAAACCAATGATGAAAATACTCAAGAAAAAAATCAGGCTAAAGAAATTTTTGAATCAATTAGGAGGACCTGTTGTTCTTAGAAAAGCTTTATCAAGGAAACTGAAAAAATAACCTGATATGCAACTGATCTGTACACATGAGGCAAAACCGCAATAATTTGTTAAATCACAACAAAAATTTAGAATCAATGATCTTGTGGTGGGAAAAGTCACTTTCTTCTCTGTGGATTTTAAAAAGAGCATCACAACTATACTTTTTCTTGCATGCCATCTAGTGTTTTTCTTTAACCAAAACAAACTAAAACAATTCCTAGATCACTTTATTACACCTACATAGGTTTTGGTGATTTAGTGCAGTTATTGTTCATACAAAACATGCTCCAGACATGTTGAGACCGTTCAACCCTTGCAGCTCTTTGCTAAGCTTCTCTTCTCTAGAGAGGAAGGATGAGTATAAAAGTTCAAAACTGCCAAATCTATACCTCATGGCAAATATCAGTAAATAAAGATTACTAACAAGAAATTGACAAGAGAATTTCTGGCTATTTATAACAGAAAGGGTTTCTATGTTGAACTCCTGTTCACCAAATGCCAAACTATTAATTGAAAATGACACATAATCCTACTAATGATAATTAGTAGAGCAATATAAACCATTCAATTAATACAAAATCTTACATCTTTCTACTCAAGATCTGACACCAAGACTCTCCCTTTACATTTGTTTGGGCAACCCACATTACTAGCCATCATAACAGATACCATGCTGAGTCGTAAAAGGTAGCAAAATATTTTTACAAAATTACCTGTTTCTGCTTATGAAATGAATACACAATAGCAGCAACAACAGAATCAAGGTCACCAGATTCATTTCCAATCACAATATGAATAGATTTTTTCTTTTCATTGTTCAATGCAATTATCTAAAAAGCAAACGTTTCAAATAAAGGCTCATGGCTTATATTTGCAAAGGTTTTTCAACAAGAACAAAAGTTTAAAGTTCATTATGAGAAGATGACATGACTTTTAAAAGCTTGTTGCTGCAACAGATGCATTTGCGATCATTTCAACTTAACAGATAAAGACCTTATCTGTAACATTAAAGGTATTGAGTCATGGTAAATAGGCTTTCTCTATAGGGGGTCATTTGGTTTCGGCGTGATCGCTGCTGTTTCATGTGAAATTGGCATCCGTTGTTGACAACTTGCTATTGATGGAAACTGTTATGTTAATCAGTACAAGGTGAGTTCATGTGACCAGTTCAAGGTCAACCAATAGCATCGCAGTCATGTAAATCATGACTCAGCTGATTTTGGCACTTAGGGTATACCCAGTCTATTTATGATGACTCAATGCCTTTAAGGCTGCAACAAACATAAAGCTATTGGATTACACTAGGGTTGGCAAGGGCTCCTTGGCACTGCTATTTTTGGTAATACTTTCAATTTTACGAAATCTCATAGGTTGGCAATATGATTTACACTCTCATCTGCTATATACATATTTGATATTATAAACCAGGATGTGAACTATCAAGGTAAGCACAACTTCTCTCATTCTAGCACTTAACATAGGTTTGGTTTGACTTGTGACAATAACCATAGGGTGGATCAGAATGTTGCAATTATTCACAGGCGCATTTTGGATGCATCCAAATATAACTGTTTCATGGTTTCACCATTCAACAGGTTGTAAAAATATCAGCATTGCAGCCTTGACAACTACATTAAACATATCTTACTTGAAGATCACAAGTTATAAAAAACTGCCCAAATTGTCCTGTAAAAAAGGCTTGGGAAAACCCTACAGACACACTGTCCAGGGTATCTTGTGAGTATATATTGCTCTAATGATTTGCTTAGAGGCTTGTCAAAGGTGAATACTGCCTGAAAGGTCCTTCATGATCACCTGTCAGGATGACCTTGAGACAAAGGGGCAAACTTAGTAAGAGGATCTGAAAAATTGTTCAAAATTTCTATTGAATTCTATCATTTTCTTCTACTGTTACAGTGAAACCATAATCAGATGAATAGGAAATATATTAGAAAAAATACAGTCATGATTTTTTCATAACTAAGAAAGTTTGGGTCAAGAAAGTGTGCTCTAGGTACAAGAGCCATATAAATTCAAACAGATGAAAACAGGAAGCAAAGAAGCAGAGGAGTGTCCAAGTTCAAGGGAAAGTGACTGTGAGCTACCAATAACCAAATTCTCCACAAGTAGCTAGTTCCAAGTTCCAACCATTTTCACAACCACAGGAAACACTTTGAAAACAGAAAGATAATCTTTCGTCACTGGAAAACATAATTTTAGAGCCAGCAAAAGTTCAAGATTTTAGTATTGAGAGAAAACGACTTTCTAGTAACATATCAATGACCAAACAGCAATGTTGTAAAAAGTATACTTCCAATCACTGTTTCATTATTATCTGTTGGTGTTTATGCACAATTTCAAAGAATTTTCGATAAATGTTTCATCAACCACTGAAATGCTTTTTGGTCAACTTCTGTATGATGGAAGGTGCAAGCTGGTCAAACTTCATAAAGTGTTCTAAACTTCTAACTTCTATAAACAAATTCAGGCATACAGTGAGTGTTGCTTTTTGCAGTTATATCAAGCCTGCAAATAATTCAACTGCTTGAAACCAATCATCGTCATATTTGGTTTTTGTGACTTTTTCGGGAATTTAATGAAACACACTGACTTGAATATATTTGTTAGGCTACATTTTGAAATGTCATAATGCTTGGAAATGAAAACCTGCTTTGCTGGTCAATTTCTTTTGCAGAACCATTCACCTTTTTCATAATATAGAATGGCGCTGACCATTAAAAATGAGGATATACACCTATCGTTTTCGCAGTGAAAAACGGAGGCGGCTAGTTATATTATCGGAAAAACATTTACATAATTTACAACATTTACAAACCTTCTCGATTTCCTTTTTCGTGGAACTCAAGAATGACTGTATACTGTCAGTATCGGCGTCCATTATCAAATTGAAAATGCATTAATCGACTTTTGCTCTAACCTACGTGGCTACAAGAAGCTTGACCACCTTTGATAATATGTTTTCGTGATTCTAGACAAGCCTCGTTGAGCCAGTGGCCTAAATGACGACAGCCAAAAAATGTTGCATCCCTCAATTGTTGAAGCTTCGCTGTCCTAACCGGCTTAAGACATCCAATATAGATGTATCGTGTTCTGCTGACAGTAATGACCTTAACCTTTGAATAATGACATACCCTCTTTGTGGAAAAATAAATTTAGACGCTCTTTAACATTTATTATTGATCATTAACACCACAACAGCAACAGTTTCGCCCCTTGATTGCCGCCGCAACAACAACTGATATTAAAAAGGACTGGATCGAATATTTATTGTTCTCGAACATCGATTGCAGGAAGCGCGCGTAATTTGTTCGCGCGAAATCTCATCATGTTCGTACCTCTCACTCCTGTCCTAAAGGTTATTATTGCTATGAGCCTGAAGTTAGAAAGAAGTTTCCACGCACATTTCACTCGTAAGTACACCGTAGATATTTAAAGGGCTCTAACTTTTCGCCTGGAAAATATTTGCAAATCTGGCTAAACAGTTCTTGAAGTCTTTCCATGTATGTAGCCCACTGACTTTCAAGAAATTTGATAAATTATAAATGGATTGAGTGCATTTGATAAATGGGTCTCATAATTTGTTGCAACTGGTAATTAAATTTTGATATGTTGTAGACATCTTGAAAATGGGCAAACTCTAGGCACATAAAAAGCTCTTACACCAGTGCCCTCCTTTTGGCGCCCTCACTTTGATATTCAAATATACACTCCCCTCACAAAAGTATTGCACCACCTTGTTCAAAATGGCGGCACTTTTTGTCAATATTTTTAAAATACAAAACATTTAAATGCATGAATTGGGTGAAATAGGCATATTTTATAGCAAATTTCGGCGGGAAAAGTTTGCAATTTTACTGAGGCCATGTAATACCTAGTTAGAAATGTTAATTTTACGCAAAAACATTATTGTTTGTAAAAAAGTAGATCACGCCGAAGGGAGAAAATTTGTCAAATGAGATGCAAGTCCCTACAAAATTTTTACAGGGAAGTGGTCTTTAGTTTTTGAAAAATTGTTGACCATGTTAGATGCAGCCACACAACAGCTTCAATAAATCAAAAAAGGTTTCTGAAGAGTGCTTCAGTAGTAATAAACCGAGAAGTGGGTTAATAAAAAAAATTGACGTTAGAGGGGTAGTGATTCTGTCTTTTTTATTTCACCATGTTTACACCAAGATACAGTAAAAGACATGCAACTTGACCCTGAGCAATGTTTTGCAGCTCAAAATTCTTCCAAACAAAAAATAATGTGGGTCTTACACAAATATAAAATAAAAATTCACCTGCGTAAAGGGAAACCATTTTTACAACGATTTATTTCGAACAAGAAGATTTCAAGTTTTTCCGTGGCGTCGTTCAAGTCCAGATTTGTACATCGTTGAAAATGTTTGGCTTCGCATGAAAAACAATCCGAACCATGATTTTAAAGGTACTTGAAGAACCAAAGAATCGTTTATTAAAAGAATTCTTCAGGTTTGGAATGAAATTCCACAATAATACGTTGCCCAATTATATGCAACCAATTCAAGGAGGCATAAAGCGGTTTCAAAGTTCATAGCTCCCGTCAAAATATTAAAATTTGAAACTGTTAAAAGACGTTTTGAAACCGTTTTTTATGAAAAAAGTTTTTCTAAAAAGATTGAAGTTTTGATTGGTGGTTGTTTAACTTCCGATACACTCCCATAATTCTTGCGCCATTCCAGCTTTCGATAATTCTTGCGCCATTTTCCCTCCTTCGAGGTGGTGCAATACTTTTGTGAGGGGAGTGTATTTTGAGTGTTTTAACATAAATTATCAGTCATTCAAGAATCTGCTCTTACAGCTTCAAAGAAGGAATTTATCAACAGAACTGGTCATAGTGAGTGATGCTGTTACAACACAACTCATAAAATTACCAAAGCATCACAGAAAGGCTAATGCATTTCCTACTGCATGTCTAATTGAGTTTATTCTTTAGAACTTTTTGCTCCTACTACAGTTTTCAAACAAGATGGTTAGAGAGATTTTTCAAAAAAAGAATAAAAAAATTTGATGACCCCATTGAACTCAGTTCAACTGAGGAGATATACAGTATTTTGCACATGTGCATATTTTACCAAACAGCAAATGCCATGGAAGCATTCACTGGTATTTTCTTGTGACTCTACCAAAATATATTAATGTGTCCATATAAAAGGATTGCGTGTACCCAACTTTTCAAGCCCCCCATCAAAATAACGACTTGCGATTGATTAGTATTCTTTCGATTCAAAACTACTCGCATAAAAAGCTAACCTCACAGCAGGGTAGATCTACAGAACAACTGTAATGGCTGGGGCGATGACATGAAAAATCACATGTTCCTGAAAACCCCCGCAGAGCCGCTTGCTTTAGCTAGACACATCACCTTTAATTCTATATTTATTTTTGCCCTACATTAATTAAGAAACAACCATTCACTTTTAAATTGGAATGTGTTTTTGCACCAAATTTTAAGGGACAAATCAAGTTGCATAAAAAACCAGGATTCATCTATCATTTGGCTTGCTATAGAAGGCAAAGCCAGAAATTAATGTCTTAAATTTTAATTTTTAATGCATGCTGACAAAGACCAAATTACAAGCACAATGCTATAGATCAAGTGACAAAAAATAAAAGTAAGTATAGCTAAGCATGGTGAAATTTCTTTGAAATCAATATAATTTTGTTAAATTTGATATGCTAATTTTTAGATTACAAAAGAGGATAAGCCATAATTCCCCAGATCCACCCAACAGACAAGTCAAACAGATTCTGTGGAAGAGAGCCAGCCTTCTCCCATCAAAACCATCACAATTGCAGCAAGTGATCATTGTTACCAGATCATTCAGTCCCCAAAAAACCAGAAGAATAAACTGAGATGGAAGGATGTCAAGTTGCTGAGTTGCAGAAAAGGTTGAGGTTGTCTTAACAAAGCAGTTGTCCTTTGAAGGTTCGAGTCCAGTCCCTACAAAGTGTCATCAAGTGTTTGAGATAAAAACATTTGATATCAGTTGGGTGTGATGAAATGCCGAAGCAGTCATTTTCTGGTGTCCCTGTTGAATTGATAAGTCATTGCAATTGTACAATTCATTTGCACTTTCATCTGCATCTGCAGAACGTGCTTGTTAACCTAATTTTGGTAGGGGACGTGTCATTTTTGGTTAAAAAATTTGGACCCATAATTCCGCATGTGTCTGAAAAATGTGAGCCATGATTCCGCAAACATGAAAACTATACCCATTATAAGGCCTGGCCGTTTGAGGCGAGCGATAGCTCGCTCTCGCCTCCACGCTCTCCTCGCAACCTGAGGAGAGCTATGAATTGCCCTCCTAAACAGAACATGAAGGAAGAATCGCTCCCCTAAAATTTCCTATTCTCCCGTCATTACATTTTTTGAAGTTAACTTTTTGTTTGTTGGGCGGTTTTTGTTATGATAGGCATAAACTTCGATCTATTTGGAAAAGGATAGTTAACCGAAAGGTACGTTTGTAGCGATTAGAACCTTTCAATTTTAAGAAAACAAGAATATTTTTGGAAGGAAAGTCGAAGAAATTGGCAGGAATTGTAGATTGGGGATATAATAAGACAGCAGGCCCCCTTCCAGCAATAGAAACAAAACTATTCCTCAAAGAGAACAAGGTACTCTGTCTTGCAGATCAAAAACGACAACCAAAACATGGAATTCCACTATCCAGCAGCATTTACTGAAAAACCCAGATTGGGTGAAAAACTATAATGGTGACATGTTTGGCATTAATGGCAAAGCCTGATCATCGTTCCTTCTAGCAGTTTGTGAATCGATCTACTATATAAACATGACCGACCGCTTCTGTGTAGACATAAGTGAGTTCGTTTCCACCTTAGGACTCCGTTGGTAACAACTTCAATAGGAAAGCGGCAGTGATTGGACAACCTCAACAGTCATGTGCTCGCGTTTTCTGATTGGCCTATTTCGATCCAAAACTGGGTATATGTATTTCTTAGAGTAGTGTTTTCGATCTATGTTCTGACATTTTATTCTCTGAAGAGTGCTAGACGTATAACTTCAGCTTGTTTTAAAAAAAAAATTTTCAAAGCCATTTTCAAATTCTGTACAACAAAAAGATTGTTTTGCAAGAGAATGGTTGTTTTTGTGTTGTGCCAGCTTTACATGAAACTGAAAGAGTCTGTTCTTTTAAATACTTCAAGTAAAGGGGGTGCCTAAGTCACGGTTAAAGCAAATACAAATTGAAAGAAGTAAAACAGCACACTCCTGACTGAGGCAATTACATTAAGGCAACCGACAGATACTAAAGGGGCTTATTAAGTCATCTGTCGATTGTCTTTAAAGAACATTCTATGTGTTACTGATTTAGCTCGCCTCAGCAAATGAGGGGAGCGATTCACAGCTCACCTAAAAAAATACAAACGGCCAAGCCTGCATTATTCTGCAAAACAATAACATTTTTAAAGCACAAAATCACCAAACAACTTTTGCATGTCCTTTGTCAAAAATCTCAATATTGCACATATTTCTCACTTTCATATCTAACTGGCCATTCATTTTGTTAATGCTAAATATCCCTTCTGGTAATTTTGCAACATTTTTCGAAAATATTGCACATAGTTCCGCACATATTTCAAAAACTGATACCGATAATTCCGCACTTTTCAGAAAAGGGTACCCCTAAAAATTGGTAAGTCGCCCTACCTTTAAACATGTTAAGGTACCCCCTCCCCCCCCCACCCCCAGCAAAAGCCTAAACAACAGAATGGGAAATTTTAGAGTGTCCTTTTAGATTAAACGTTTTATCGGTACCAAAGTAATATGTTATAATTTTGTTGTTTACATCATTCTTTGTTACAATTCTAATATTAGTCTTTGAAAATGTGCTCTTTTTGAAAAGCTGCCCCCGCCGCCTCAAAATGCTTCTGGGGCCCCTGGTGATGCATTTTGTAAAAATTACTAAGAAAATGAATGCGCTCCAGTCTCTTCAAGTACGGCAAGGCCCCAAGGTAGACGCTACAGTGCGGTATAAATGCTGGGCCGGAGAATGACATGAACCCGTAACCGTAACCCTCACCAACCCCAACTAATCTTTTTCATTTCATAGCATCGAATGTTTGCTCCAAATGATGGCTAGATTGAACACGAAGACCAGGATAAGCATGATTATATGGGAAGAGCATTCTAACTAGAATGGGACCTTATAAACTAGTCTATGTGAAGAAGAGCTTTCGGAGTTTGAACAACTAAATTTTTAGTGGCAAGGTTTAGTATCCCAAAACGTTTGGACTCTTAAAAGTGGTCAAACCACAAGGAAATTAAAGTTAGTTCGAATTAAAGAGAGAGTAGGTTCAACTCTCCTTTTGTCCCGCAAACAATAGTAACTCAATCAGGAACTTTCTCAATTGTTGGCCTGGTATGACTTCATTTGCGCTATTGTTGATAACTTCTTGGTATACGTAGGCAACGTAGGCTCGAACCCATGGATAGTTTATTCTCAACATAACACTCATGACCAACATAGCTCGTGAAAAAACTAACTTCTATCAAACCAATGCAATACATCATAACTTCAATAGCAAGCGATTAATGATTGAAAACATAACATTGAATTACAGTTTTCATTCTTTGCCAATCATCAGACTAGTTTGTAGTGTCACTATCTTGTTTGTTATCTTATAGTTTACTATTGGCAGTACCAGTGTTCTATGCGTTTCTGCATGGGCATGCGTTTCTGCATGGGCTGAGACACATATGCGTCTCAAGTTTTACAGTGTAATGGCGGACATGCAGGGCCTTGCTGTGAATGGCGTGAAGCGCATATGCGTCACATTGGACACATGTGTTTCAACGGATGTGCGTTTCTAAACAAGCTGCAATACGGATCCGCTCCATGATACGCATATGCGCTTGAACGGATACAGCAAATATGTTTTCAGTATTATAACGGAAAATCACGATAGAAAAATTGTCAGCAAAATCACTGACATTGTCAATAAAATCATTACCTTATGGGGGAGAAACAGCTTAAATACATCTCATTGGCAGACCTTTATGCCATTTTTCTTCAAAGAGCGATCGCGAACAGTTATCGTAGCTCGAACGTGATTTGAATTAAGGATGACGGAGATTACGAAGAAGGATCGAGAATCAATTGAAAATGTAAGTATGGAAGAAACGATGAAGAAAGATTTTCAGAAAATGAAAGAAATTTTTAATTATCATTCAAATAAGACCAACCGTCTTAAACAATTTTATCCCGATGGCTTCAGTCAAAAAGAGAAGGACTGTTTGAGAAGATATGCAAGAAAATATGAATTAGATGGTAAGTTCATCACTTTTTAAATAGCCCATTGAAATATAGCCGATATTTAAACGAATTGCAAAGAATTTACAACTTTTTAAAAAACTTTCTTATGATTGTTAAATTTTCCCTTGCCCATCCCCATCCCCACTTTCCAACATGTGTCAGAGCCCATTATTAGAGATCCGAGGCAAGTCCCTTCCAGATTTTTGATCCCAAACAATTTCACATTCATAAAATACGTTATGCAAAAGCGCACAGGCCCACCTGGGCATCGGGAAATTTCCTGGTGAGTCCTTTGCCTCGCGTTAATTTTTTTTTAAAAATTTAAAAGCTTTCAAAAAGCAGATAATCTTCATACAAAACTAAAAATGTCGAGAGTATGTCGAGAGTATGTTTGCATAAAAGTTTCACGTCTCCTTTAAGCTGAGCAAAATTAAGTTTAATAGCAAAGATTCCTAATTCCTGTTATTGAAAAACTCATTCAAGGCGAAAGTTTGATCAGCAAATGCTGCACAATTTTCCAAATTCTTTGTAAAAAAATTGTGTGTTTTTGAAAGCAGAATCAAACCTGTGCATCACCCAGAAGGCAACACTCGCTACAAAACCGGTTGGCTTGTAATTTTCCAAGCTTATGTCTGTAGGCAAGTTGGCAAATAGGGTAGCAGCCCCCCTAACGCTCAGAAAGTTGGTATCTGAGAAATGTGCAAATCTGCAATAAAATCAGTACCCCAGGGAGTGGGGGTAGGGGGAGGGGTGATATTTCAGGTAAAATGTTTTAAAGAATTGCAAGAAAACGACTGCAAGAAATATTCTGAAAATTATTGTAAGCTAATCTAAAGAGCGTGGTCGCAAAAGATTTTATTTTCGCTTCGCTCACAAGGAAACCCAGTCTGCCCCTATTCGGAATGTTTTTAAATTTCCGCTTTATATACAAGGGTTTTTAGAGAAAAATCCTTCGCGTTCTTTAGACATTCCCGATAAAGTAGTGGCTGGAATTCTGAAATGCTTGAATCCTTAAAAAACTAGAAATTCGGAAACTAGAAACCGAAATTCTTGTCAAGGATTTGGCTGACTTTGTTCCTATAAGAATTGACTTAGCTTGAAGCTTTTAAACACTATTTAGTATTTTCAAATATTTGCTTACAACTTTTAAAAATTTTGCATGTAAAGCTTCCACTTCTGACAAAATTCACAATGTAAAGGAATTTTGAAATAGCCAGTTGTAGAATGGAATGGGGGCCAGCCTCAAAAAGCTACATATGACTGTTATTTTGTTTGACAAGTTATACGTTTTTACAAAATGGGACGTTTTCCCGAATTCTGAAGGGTGTAGTACCAAGAATGTTTCTGTTGTAAGTCCAACGGACCCCCTTCTGTCAGACTCCCCTAACCCCTTCCAATCGTCAAACCACGGCTACGCAATTGAGTTAGAGGGGGGGTTTTACTAGGTGAATAGCAGATTGTTTTGCGAACAACAAACAACAGACCAATTTTTAGACAAATTATTACGAGATTTTTTCAAAATTATCAATTTTGGTTACGTAACATGTGTATATAGCTTGTGTTGTCTCTCTTGAATGATGGTGCTTTTTCCTTTGGCCATCGAATATCCCTTAATAGAGAAATCTGCGGTACGTATGTTAGAGGATAACAAATCCTAGTTTGAAATAATGTTTAATTATTCAAGTAAGAAAAAAATACTTGCCTACGATCATTTATTTTGTTTGCAAAAAGCTGATTTTCCGCTACACAAATTTTTTCGGACCCATTTTACAAACCCAAAGTTAAGCAACTGTCGAGCCTATTGGCGCCCTTTAAGTTGCTTTTTCCGGTGGGTTGAATACTGACGTTATGACTATTTTACAGTTAACGAAGGATAGAACTCAGGTTAGAAAAACTCAGCGACAAGAAATTTTGGGGTTCTGATTACTTTTCAGTGTCTTTGGAAAAGATAAGAGGGTCATTCACATAGTACGTACGCATAAAAATTGATATTCTTCCCCCCCCCCCCCTTTCACAGTCGTATTTTCTCAAAGACCCTGCTATTATTTCTCAGTGATATTGGTAAGGTTGCACTACAAAAGATACGTTCTTGCAATGAAAACAGTTATATAAAAGTAATGCGTATATGGATAATTTTAAGGCAAAATGTTTGATTAGGGTGGGTGAAACTGTTATCGATGCATTTGACTTCTAAGAACGAGGATAGCGTGCCAAATTACTTTTATATTTAAACAATTTGGAATAAACCTGCAAACAAAAGTCGTGAATAGCATGATTTTATTTGGATCGAAACGCGCAACATTGATGTCATTGCACATAGACAGTCCGAAGAAATAACTGTGAAGAGTTTTAACCGTACCCAAATCCACGGCTCTACCTTAAAATTGACGATCGATGTAGTTTTTTTTAGAAAAAACATTTTGCGTACGTTTTCGAACTCATTTGTATACAAAATCGATTTCGTATACAATATTTTTACTTTATATTTTAGAACAGGATTGCATTTACTATTTTTCGTTGATGTAAAAGACAACATAGCAAACTGTTGGCAAATGATAACGATCGATTTGATGTATTCATTTTAGATGGAGTACTGTATTATAAAGCGTCTGAAAATGGCCGATCCCGAAGTCAAGTAAACCGTTTGAAAGCAGTTTGATCTTTGGAAGACGCAAAGTCAATTTTTCAAGAATTTCACGACAGTAGCATTGGCGGGCATGGTGGGCTCAATAATACAGAAGATCAGATTTGCGCAAGATACAAATGGAAGAATATAACATCTCATTTGAAATACATGGTAAAATCATAATTCCTTAGGTTATAACGAATGCATTTAATGTCCAAGGAAAGTTAAAAATTGACGTTATTGAATTTTTATAGTATATATGATGTTTATTTCTGACAATCAATCAACCTTAAGAGGCAGTGGCCTTTTTATACATCCAATTCTATCCCCAGGATAACACAAAAACTGCTATTATGTTGTTATTGTTCAATCTGCGAATGGTGAAACTGGTAGGAGAAAAAGCAAAAATTTTATATTCTCTCTCGACTCACTCGATATGTGAATCATAGCTCTGTGATACTTTTTGAATGGAAAAATCGTTTTTACAAGGTTTCCAAAATTTATAGAACTTAAAATTGCATTTTATAATTTGGGCTAGCTTGATTAAAGTGTTTTTTAAAGGGCTCACCCTTACCTTACTTCAAGGTGATTTAGCATCTTCAACTAGGCTGAATGCATTTACAAGTATGATATATTAAGTGTGTTTTAAAAGAAACAAGCTATTTGTGTCATTACATTTCATTACACATATTACATTATTACATTACAAGTGTGGTATTTCGTATCTGTTCCTAGAAGAGTCAATGTCAGAAGTGCTACAGAAGTGGACCACCGTTGAAGAACGTTGATGTTGAACTAGAATGTATCAATGTAAGTTTTAGTTCAATGCATTAAAAAAGAATGCTTTTTTCACTTGCAAACACTGCTCCTTGTTTAGATTGAACACAAAATTAAACTGTTATATTTAATAAAACAGAGTAAAAATCGAGGATTGTGAATGTACACGGAACATACTAGGAACAAGAACAGGAAAAGTTCCAAGTTGTTTGAGCAGCCTTATTCTTTTCTACTTTTCTCGCGTTACACGGATAAAATTATGCAGAATTACACAAAGAGCTTCCCCCAAAAGGATTCCCATAATTCAAAGCCAACGATATAAAATTAGTTCCTGGTATATGACTATTATTTGGTTAAAGAACCAGAAAAAGAAATTCTGGGCAATTTTTGAATAAATCACAGATGGTATAGAATTCCTACCATTTTGATAAAAAGTAAACCAGTAGTAGTTGATTTACATCCTCCACAGCTCTATTTTCAGTAATATTTTAAGGTTCGCAAATGAATAAGGCTGAAAATGCTTACCAATCACTTACGAACAAATATAAAATTTACTATTAAAAACATAAATTAGTGAAATACTTGTTACAATAAACAAACCAAAATTTGAATAAAATATCTTTATCTACTGTTGCAAGCTTTGCATTTATGAGCTTTTATAAATATATATTTTGAATATCTAAAGGGAGTCTGAGTTTTTCAACTCTGGTCATAGTGTTTCTCGTACTTTTTCCTACAAAAATGATCGTTTGATATTGATTCCAAGGCAAGTTGACAATTGTAGTTCATCAAGAGACGTTAGATTGTAAGGAATTTTTTCCACCAAAGCTAGCTTTATGAAGCTAGAATATACATAGATGTGATATTGATTTGTAGACCTCTACCAAAAGCAAATTCAGGTTCAACTGATGAACGCTTAAAG